TCTTGTTTTTTTTTCTTTTTTTTTCTTTTTTTTCTTTTTCTCTTTTTCGTTTTTTTCTCTTTTTTATCTCTTTACCTTCTTTGTCTCCTCTTCTGTCTCCGTATTTGTCTCTCTGTTTATTTGTTTCTTTCTTTTTTTTTGTTTCTTTCTTCTCTTTGTTTTTTTTTCTTTTTTTTGTTTTTTTTTCTCTTTTTGTTTTTTTCTTTTCTTGTTGAGGTGTATACTGATTTGTCTCCTGCTGCCTTCAGCCTCTCCCTGTGTCTCTTTTACACTGCTGCTGCTGCTGTTGCTGCTGCTGCTGCTGCTGCTGCTGCTGCTGCTGCTGCTGCAGGGATCTGCTGCTGGGAGAGCATTACTTTTTGCTGCTGACGATTCGTCTCCTGAGGACCCCCCCCATCTCCCGCAGGAATAGGGGCCCCCCCCCTCAGCAGCAGCAGCAGCAGGGGGCCCCCTATCAGCAGCAGCAGCAGGGGCCCCCCAACAACCAGCAGCAGCAGCAGGGGGCCCCCGAGGACCAGCAGCAGCAGCTGGTGGCCCCCCATCAGCAGCAGGAGCAGGGTGTATATGATGATGGTTGGTGTATAGAGGAGAGAGAAAGGCTGCGGTTTGTGAATATGTTTGTTTTGTCTTTATATGAAGACCTTGGGGCCCTACTAAAAGCCAACGCGGAGACACAAATGAAAAAAATTAAACTTCTCTGCATGCAGGCTATGCAGGATATACATAAACTTAATGAATATGTATAAACATATTTATATATAAATAAATAAATAAATAAATAAATAGATATATATATATATATGTATATATATATATATATATATATATGTTTGTCTGTTTGTCTGTTTGTTTGTTTGTTTATTTAATTGTTTGTTTGTTTGTTTGCTTGTTTATTTGTTTATTTGTTTATTTATGTATTTGTTTGTTTGTTTGTTTTTTTGTTTGTTTCTTTATTATTTATTTATTTATTTATTTATTTGTATTATATAGATAGATGGACAGCTGAGGAGACAGCTCGAGACAACTGAAATATCACCTGGGGGCATTTGTGTCTCCTTTTGTCTTTTTCTTTTTTTTTTTATTTTTTATTTTTTTTTTCTTTTTCTTTCTTTTTTCTGTTGTCTCCTGTTTTCTCCTCTTGTCTCCTCTCTGTCTCCTTTTTTGTCTCCTTTTTTGTCTCCGTTTGTCTCCTTTTTGTCTCCTTTTATCTCCTCTCTGTCTCCTTTTTACGTTTGTTCTGTCTCTCCGTCTCTGTGTATATCTCTTATATGTAAAACTAAGAAACTTTATTTGTCTCCTTTTTAATATAAAAAAATTAATTTGTCTCTTTATATATATACATATATATATATATATATATATATATATATATACATATATATATATATATATATATATA